AGGTATGCAGATACATACGTTGACAGGCAGGTAGGAAAGCATATTAAAATGCTCGGACCGAACGTTTTGATTGGACGAACATTTCTTGGTCCTACGCCTTCCACAGAATATATAAATACAGATAAATACATTTAGACCACTTAACTTAATGACTGCTATCGGGATGTGAAGAGTCTTTCAACCAGCATAACAAAAAATGTTTCTGAAGACAATCACCTATTGCACCTTTAAAGGCATGTGGGGGCCATACACTTTTGACTTACATTATGAGTTGCTTTGATGAAATATATGCATGGATCAGCCTGTAATTTTTTTTTGTTTGTTTTTTTAAATCCATCCCTCAATGAGTTGATGATTTTGGCTTCCACAGACCATTATCAACGATTTACACAATGTATATAAATAAAGATTTGTAACTTTTTTTTTTTTTTGAGCAGTGTATTTCACAGCATTTTAAATTTATTTTTGATCAAATGCATCCATGGTAAACATAAGAAAAGTCTTTCAAAAAGTATAATAAATATCTGTAGATTTCACTAGATCAAAGATAATCAAAGATATTTCCATAAGTTGCTTAATGTATTTCTGAGTGAAACATGATTTTTATCAAGAAAAATTGCACAGTGGGACTTACTGCAATGTTATCCATCAGTTGATTGAATTGTGAAAATATGACAGGTGGTTTGACGAAAATGAAAGTTGTTTCAAAGTGTGGAGCAAATTATTATGTTTTGATGAAAGATTATGAATGCAATTAACTTTTTTTTGTTTGTTTGTTTAGAACAATGTGCAATGATGAGTCATGCATATAAGGAATTCTAGAAATATGTATTAAGACATGCATATAGTCCATTTTGATTTATGTTGAGAACAATGTGCAATGATGAGTCATGCATATAAGGAATTCTAGAAATATGTATTAAGACAGTGCATATAGTCCATTTTGATTTATGTTGATTTAAAGGCACAATATGTAAGATTTTTTATTAAAATATCCAAAAACCACTAGAACAGTGTTATATATTTTGCTGACTTGTGTACTTACATTATCCCAAATGTTTCGAAGAATGTTTAAATCCAGAGAAATAAGCAATTTTAACTAGTGACACGGGTCTATAGTGTCATTGTGTCTCCTGCCAATGACGTCATAACCCCTCGATTTCCGGTTTTGTCACGCTCGTTCAGCGCCTCGTTTCGCTTCGACGGCTTTCAGCCTCACCCTGCTTCATTCTACTACGTTAACAAATCATTAGCTCATCCATGAACATGATTTCTGCCCGAGTCCCGTCGGATTGCATCGGATGTGGGGATGAAGACGATAACTCCCATGACTCCACACTCAGTCACGGCGTCATCAAACTACGCTTTTGCCTCTTTGTTTATTTTGAATACGCGCCCTCTAGCGGCGAAAATTACATATTGTGCCTTTAAGATAAGAAGAATTCAAGGTCAGTTGGTTGGGTTTTAGTTTTTAAGTAATTTGTCTTGCTCTCATTACTTTATGTTTCAGGTCATGCGAGCCCTGTATGTTGGACCCAAGCTGTGGTTACTGTTATCAGGAAAACAGCACTGCTGTGTTTGCCTCCTCCTGTGTGCCCGTCAATCCGGCCTCCACTGAGAGAGCAGCGTGGGGCAAGTGAGTCAGCACTGAAACAGAGCCTCTGTATGCGCAAGCACTTGAGCTGTTCTGTGTATATTTGGGCATATTATGTGTTTTTATTCATTCTACAGTACATTACAAAGTTATCCAATACTCGCCAGGTGTAAAATCTCAAATACAATTTGTTGTCATGTCCTTTAAAAAGTGATGTTTCCCTACTTGTATTTTATATTTTTAACACATTTTCTAACACATTTTAGTTTGTTAAAGGGATAGTTCACCCAAAAATTAAAATTCTGTCATTATTTATTCACCCTCATGTCGTTCCAAACCCGTAAAACCTCCGTTCATCTTCGGAACACAAATTAAGATATTTTTGAAGGAATCTGAGAGCTCTTTGACCCTCCCATAGACAGCAAGGGTCCTTACATGATCAAGGTCCAGAAACGTAGCAAGGAGATCGGTAAAATAATAGCTACGAGAATACTTTTTGTGCGCAAAAGAAAAAAAAACAAATTTATTCAACAATTCGTCTCCTCCACTTTTTTGGAGAATATCCACTGAACGTATATTGCGTATGCTGTTTTGTGTCAGCTGCGGCACGCGGATACGTTGTTTTCGTTCAAATCAAAGCATAAATGACGTAAACAGCGTATCCGCGTGGCTCAGCTGACACAAAACAGCATACACAATTTACGCTCAGTGGAATTTTAATTTTTGGGTGAACTATCCCTTTAATTGTGGCATTACTGTATGATATTAGATGTAATTGATCCTGTGATGCTTTTTAATTTAATTAAAAAAATAAAAAAAATTTCGAAAAATTGAAATATGGTAAACATTTTGATATTTATTCATTCACCTTTATTAAATTCATTGTGTGTTTGTTTCAACTCTAACAGGTGCTCCAACTCCACACATATGCCAGATAGTGGTATATGGGCTTATAATTTTTGCCCAACATCTTATTCATGGGTTGTGCTCCTGGGACTGGTGCTCTATCTCGCATGTTTTGCCCCAGGTAAGATGATCATAACTGTTTGTAATTAATAAAAAAAAATATCATAGCAGTGCAATCCATCACCATTGTGCCACTCAGCAAGACATAACCAGAGGTTGCTCTAAAGGGAATTATACCTGTAATATATTCATGGTGACATTGCATTGCGGTAATTTAAAACACTTTCACCTCTTGACAGGAATGGGACCGATGCCATGGACAGTTAATTCTGAAATCTACCCTCTTTGGGCCAGAAGCACAGGCAATGCTTGTTCGGCCGGAGTGAACTGGACCTTCAATGTGCTGGTGTCTCTAACGTTCCTTCACATGGCCCAGTACCTGACTTACTATGGTAATGCTCTAATTAGGGGAGTGACAGCAGTCATGAACATGACCTTTTTGTCAGCATCAATACGGTATTTGATCTCTCAACATCAAGAGTGTACTGCGCATAAAGGCATTGTAGAACTAATTATGTCTATGACTCAGTATTACTTTCCTCTGGAAGTCAAAAACTCCCTGTGCAAATTAATATTTTAAATACACTTTCCTGGATTTGCTGTTCACAGCTCACATTACTGAAAAAGAAAAACTTGCTTTGCACTTAAACCAACTTTTACAACTTTTTTTTGCTGACATCATCTAGGCCATTCACGCCATTGGATAATGTTAGTTTTATGTTGAGGCCATTGATGATGTTGGCAGAGCTACTACAATTCTGACTAGGCGAGCAGAAAAAAAAAATCATATATTTGAGTCTTGTATAGTTTTGTTATTTTTTAGCAATTATTAAAATTATACCCATTTATTAACCAACATCTCTTTGTCATTTCCCAGGTGTATTTTTCCTGTATTCCACTTTGGCTCTAACTGGTTTCTTTTTCATTTATGGCTGCCTGCCCGAGACTAAGGGACGGCGGCTAGAAGAGATTGAGTCCTTGTTTGAAAACCGGCTTTGCTCATGCGGGATCTCGGATTCTGATGAGGATCGGCAGGTGGAATACATCCGGGTGAAAGGGTCAAACTACCATCTATCAGACAACGACGCATCAGATGTCGAATAACTCATGTGAAACCTCTAGGTTGGTAAACAGGAATGAGAAGGTTTCGATTGAGCCTCATTCAACCCTGACGTCAGGTCTGCCCACTGTATCGGTCAGGTTGAGCCTCTCAAGAACAGGGTTGTAGAGCACACACAAACAAACACGCAGTGCCAAGTCAGCTTTTATAATATCGTCAGTATGTTTTTGCGTCACAGTACATGCAGATCTACTGGCTCTTTTCTCCACTGTCGGATGAATATCCTCTGCTTATTTATGTAAAATGAGATGTTAGCTGTAAATTCAATAATATGTATGCAGAAGGATATAATTTTTTTCTTAATGTCATGTCTAAGTGCGAACTCAATGCAAATTTTATATTAGAAAATAACACTTATGCACACAAAGAAAAATATAAGCTACACTACCAGTCAAAAGTTTGGACGCACCTACTCATTGTTTAATAGTATTTTTCACAGTGAAGTCATTAAAATATGAAATATCATTAATGGAATTATGTAGAGATCAAAAATATTTAACAAATTAATTTTTCTATATATTTCTAATAGCAACCCATTGCCGATATTACAGCTTTGCACGCTTTTGGCATTCAAGTGTGTCTACATTTTTTATTAGTAGTCTACAAGTAATCCCAACCAACTGCTTTAAGTGATTTGAAGTAACTCCGTAAATATGAACAAAAATCAAACACAAGTGAATAAACGTCATTTTCATGTCCCTCTGGCCTACTCATTAAAATCTTTTAAGGCTTTGAAAAAGTGTAGCAAATCACATTGCTTGTTTGTAATATGCGATCACTGTCTAGTTTTTGAAGTACAGTAGTTTATTTTGTAATTTGAACCTTCATGTTTGTAGGATTAAAGATTATTGACACAAAATGTCATATATAGCTTTCTGCAGTTCCCTGTGATAGTGTAGTGTGGCCTTATAAAATATTTCCCAATTTTTACTTAAGTTTTGACAGTTTACATCATTACTGTGTGGTTAAGACTCATTTCTTTTAAAATTTTGGTCACACTTTATTTTAAGGTCCAATTTTCGCTATGAACAAACCATTAACTATGGCTTTTGCTTCAATAAACTCCTCATTAATAGTTAGTAAGGTAGTTGTTAAGTTTAGATATTGGGTAGGATTAGGGATGTAGAATATGGTCATGTAGAATATGTGCTTTATAAGTACTAATAAACAGAGAATATGTTAACAATAGGCATGCTAATAAGCAACTAGTTAATAGTGATAATTGCTCCCTATACTAAAGTGTTACCAAAATGTTAATTATTTGCTTTTAAATGTTTACATTTAACATTTTATTTTTTATTATCAATTTAATTTGTCTTCCTTGTAGCCTAGTGTACAAAAGTCATCGCATTGGTCTTGTCCACGGAACAGTGTAGGATAACCGTTTTCACAAGTACATTGTAATATCCAATATTCTGTTGTGCTGCTTTGTAAGTATACAAATAGACAAATACACATCAAGGTGTGCCAAACCGACCTGAAAATCTCTATGTTGTGGTTGTAGCTTTATCGAAACCAAGTTAGAAGAAACCAATAATGTCGACTCAAGTTCCTGTTTAAAGGTTTCACTCTGTTCAGTGATAAATAATTGTGCACATCAGGCCTTGTGTATTGTGTGTTTTGTTTAGATACATGATTATGTGTAATTCGACATTTTCCATTGGATAAAACTTAATTTGGTTGAGAGAAGCACGAATTAAATTGGCATAGTGTTTGGCATTATATCAGTTTAGACTTTAAAAAGAATAGTTCACCCACAAATGGACCTCGGTCATCGTTTACTCACAATCAAGTCGTTCCAAACATCTATGACTTTTTTTACTCTGTGGAACATAAAAGGAGACGTTCTGAAGAATGTTCAAGCTGCCCTTTTACATATAATGAAAGCATACAGTAAGGAAAGCCAATCTCCAAAAAAGACAACAAAATCCCAGATTTTTGACATTTTTGGATGAACTATTCTTTTAAGACAACAACTGAATCTCTAACATAAAACATATTGCTTCAACTAGAGTCTGAATAGAGACATTAGAAAAGTCAATGAGTTTCAGTCTACATGTATGATGTAATTTAGAGGTTTATTGAGCAGCTTCATGTATACCAGATGTATTTGAATTTTAGATTGTACTTGGGAGGTGCTCCAACATGGACAGCCTTTTGTGTTATTACCAATGAACACATCTGTTTTAAGTGTATGGATGTATTTTTTGTTATTGTATGTGAAACAAAAAGTAGCGTTTATACTGTTGATGGAAACTAGTGAGGACAAATGTTGTGTTGTACAGTATTTGATTACTGTTGCTGTAAATGTTTTGCTAGATTTATATTCTATGAAACTAAATATATGAACTTTGAAAACTTGAATATGTACTTGGAGATAATAATAAAGATATATAACATACAGTATTGTTTTTCATCATATCTGAACTGAGGTAACAATCAATTTTTTTCTAAATGTAATTCTGCTTACTGTCTAATCCTTTCTATGCTTCAACGTCAGCAACATCTTGACGTTTTTTTTTTTCTTTCATTTCTGTAGAAACCCAGTTCACACCTTTCTTTGCTGTGAAGTTCTTCATCTCTTCATCTCTTTCACAAATTCTCCTGCACGCCTGACGCCCAGCCGAGGGTAGTCACACTTGTCTATTTTCTTCCTGCTTTCCTCTTTTTTCTGTTCTGGAGTAAGCAAAGGACATAAACATACTATTTCAGATTTCAAACCAGTTTCATTAAATGAAATGGGAATAGTTCACCCATAAATGAGGCAAACATTCTAAGAAAATTACGTTTTTTTCATGTTTTCGAAAGAAATAACTAATGCTCGCCAAGGCTGCATTCATTATATCAAAAATATTAAAAATCACAGTAATACTGTGAAATATTATTGCAATTTTACATAACTGTTTTCTATTTTAATATACTTTACAATGTATTTTATTTCTGTAATGGCAAAGCCATTACTCCAGTTGTCAGTGTCACATGATACTTCAAAAATCATTCTAATATGCTAATTTGGTGCTCAAGAAGCATGTATTATTATTATTATTATTATTAACGTTATGTAGTGCAGCTTAATACTTTTTGGAAACAGCAATACATTTCTTTGGGATTCTTTGATGAATAGAAAGTTCAAAAGAACAGCATTTATTGTAACATTATAAATGTCTTTACTGTAACCTTTGTTCAGTTTAATGCATCCTTGATGAAAAAATCATTAATTTCTTTCAAAAATAGTCAAATGTTTCTGGACCCAATCTACTTGCTGAAATCTACCCCTCCTTGCCACATCAAGATGCACTGCATCATGGTTTGACGTTAGTGACACCAGTTTTGCTCATATTGTAACCAAACACAATGTGCCATGCTGAAAATTACTTCTACTCTGAAACTTCAGTTGTACACACTAATTTTATCAAGTTGTGTTGTCCTATTTGTACTGAAAAGAACAGCAAATACAAGTTTGGGAAGACATGAAGGAATGAAAAAAATGACAATGTTCATTTTTGGGTGAACTATTCCTTTAAGAAGATCCATGTGGATCAGAAACATTTGGAAAATGTGTTCTGTAAGGTTTCACAATGGGTTAGTTATTTCTACCTGAGGCTTTGCAGAAAGGATGTTTCGAAGCTGACGACAGATCTCTTTTCATGCTCTTCTGACTATGAAGTTTGCGGAAGGAGAAGCCCATTTGTGATTTTGGATGTCTCTGTGCCTGCTGGTTTGTTGCTGATGCCCCTGAGGGCATGTTTCCTGATCTTTTGTGCTCATTTTTTGGAGAAGTATGTGTTGTTGGATTAAGCAACTGATTAAAATTAGAATACTGCCACCTTGTGGTAAAGGCGCTGGTTTTCTTATTAGCAGAGGGGAAAGGGACGGAGTTGCTGTGATAAATAAGTGAGCACTGAACTGAGACATCTCGGTAAGATAAAGCTCCTGTTTGTGTCCCTGTTTCCAAGGTTATTGGGAGAGTCCCATCACGCCTTTGTGCTTCTGTCTGCAGATGAGAAAAAACAAACAGATTTTCCTCATGTTTTTGTCCACAGCTCACTGTTTCAGACTGTCTCAAACTCTGGAATTTACCTCACTTTGACCATCACAGTTAGATTTTGCCTCCTGTTGGCAGGTTGGAGCTTGTGAAGGTGTTTCTGTTAAACTGTCCACCGATAAGCAACAGTGCTTTGCCTTGACACTATCTTCAGAATGGCATAACCTTGTTATGCATTGATTTTGAAAATTTCAGGGGATCATAAAGCTATAAAATAGGTTTTATTGTATTTTTTTTTTTTACTTTTCTGTCTTTCACATAATATCATATCTCACATTTTAAAGCGAAAGATGTGTTTATCAACACAGTAAATGTTCTTTCAGTGAATGAAGTGAAATCTGTATCCACTGAAATGCTTTTAGGAACAAAGCCAAACACTTTCATTATGTTTAGATGTGTTCATTTTTCATGCACTATATACTAGGAGAGATTACAGAAACCAATTTCATTATTACGGTGATTAGGATTATTCAAATTACAGAACAGTTTTTAATGTCTTACGTCATCTGAGCTGAGATGAACTCCTCTTGGAGATTTTCCAACATGCACAAAGACACTGCTACCATCAGCCCCTGCTGAAACATCATAAAACGTCTTGTTCTGAGTAAGCGCCATTAAAATGATACTTTATAAAAAACAATAACCAGAACACTTACATGTGTTGCTGTCAGTACATACAAATTCCTGAAGAAGAAGAAAAAAATGCGAAGGTCAAAACACAAGCCAAGTTGGCATCTAAAAACAAGTTTATTAGAAATCTACTGAAGCTTTTGTCTATGTTGCTTTTAACCACAAGGGGGTAGTATTTGTAAACAATAAATGTACTAAAGTTAGTCAGCAATTTTACCAACAAAACTGTGTGTGTGTGTGTGTACCTGTTTTTCTATTCTGGTGGGGACTTAAACCTGAATACACACAGACTCATGGGGACTCGTGTCACAGTGGGGACCTAAATTGAGGTCCCCACGGGTAAACAAGCTAATAAATCACACAGAATGAAGTTTTTTGAAAATCTAAAAATGCACAAAGTTTCCTGTAAGGGGTAGGTCTAGGTGTATGGTTGGTGTAGGGTGATAGAAAATATGGTCTGTACAGTAGAAAAAGCATCCCCACAAGGATAGCAAACCAGACCTGTGTGTGTGTGTGTGTGTGTGTGTGTGTGTGTGTCTGAGTGTGTGTGTGTGTGTGTGTGTGTGTGTG